AAAAGTTTAAATATGACTGAATACTATAGATGGAGTAAGAATTAGACTTATGTAATAGTAAATATACATAGGTTTAATATTTTTATAGTTTGTCTTTTCAGTTCGTTTCATTTTTGACTTTGAAAATACTTGTGTTTGAAAGCTACAGAAATTTTCTCAATGAAAAGAGGTCAGATAACTAATAAATGGGTTGATTGGGTATGAAAGAAAACTTTATCACAAGCTTAACTCAGTAATAAATGTAAAACATTTGGAGAAGTTGTTGTGATCATCAGGTACAGGTAGTTTACTTAGACACATGAAGAGATATACACAACATGAAACAAAGTCACAACTTGGATTTAATAAAGGTATCTTGTTGATATCTCGTTCTTTGTTTAAAATAATGGTGTTTTTACTTTTCAATAGACTTAATATGGTTTATTGAGTTGTAATTTTTAAACATGAGCTTTTTTATTTGTTTACTAAATAAGGTTAGATAAGTTTACTGTTTGGTGGCATGGTCAGTATAGAAGGCAAGAGCAAAATATTCTTATGCCTGAAATCTTTATTGGGTATTATTTTTATGTTAATGTTATTCAAATAATATATAATCATGTTTTTTTAATAACATTGTTAATCGTGTTGGTGAATAGTGATAGTAAAAGTTCAATATGTCTTCATTTTATTCACGGTAGATTAGTGTAGGATTAAAAACAAAAATTTAATAGTGACATAATATTTAACTGACATTAGTTATTCATTCGCCAAGTATTATATTTGTGTGCTTGTATGGATGTGCCAGTAGGAGGTGTGCATGTACTAATCGATTAATGAGCCCATCAGAAGATTAACAAAATTCCACTAATTGCAAAGCTCTAGTTATGGTGTAGATTTTTAGTTCCAAGTTTAGTAGCTGATATATGATTTTGATGTTGCCATGGAATTTGTACCTAACGTCATACCTTTATTTAAGCAGGACTGCCTTTGGTAGGAAAAATTGGCACTATTTTTCAAGGATATAATATTGAGCCATGGATTGTTATGTTATAACATGTTAATCTTGTAGAACAGTTCTTGCTTCTATTTTATGCACGAGTGCACATAGTTAGCATCAGAGTTGGAGAATAACAAAGTAACATTACTTTGTTGCACTGCATAAGTAACTTTTCTGGGACTTAGTGTTATTTAAGTACTCTAAAAAAAGAAATTATCTACTTATACTCCACTACATTTCTTTTATAAAACTGTCTTTACATTTGAAAAAAATGTGGAGAAAATCACACTGGTTGCCATGGTGATAAGTTTTGTTTACATCAATCAGAGAACACCTACTCTTTCAAATAAGACAATCACAAGTGGTATTTCCTGTGCTGCTAAGCAGGGAAAAACACAGCCATTTTACATCTAGTTTTGACTGTGATATCTTCATCCCACTGTGACCATTATGTCTGACACAAATAATCATCCATGGCCTTATTAGAAAGACTTATTTTCACTGAAAACAGTAGGGGGAATACAGTGAAGTTGCAGCATGTGAGCATTTGTTTAGTTCTGCATGGCTTTTGTTCACACTGAGACGAGCTAATCTGTCTAGTAGAAACTTTGAAAATCCGTTGCTGCTGAAGCTAAATAATAAGTGGAGTTTGTGAAGAGCTGAACAATAATACTGATTGTTTTAATAAAAATAAAAGTTTGTTGAGTTTATATTTGGTAGTGTCTTTTACTTGTGAATTTAAATTGAATGTTGGTTATTTTTGATAATGATATCATTGCTTGTATTTAGTTGATACTTTTCACCTTATTGTTATTTAAGTACTGTATATATTTGTTACTTTTTACTCGAGTGAATATTTTCTAAAGTAACAGTACTTTTACTCAAGTAAATATTTTCAGTACTTTACCCATCACTGAAATTAGCATGTTGTATAGTTTACTAATTGCTGCTTGCAAGATTATAAAGTTAACCCTCTTGCTTAGGGCGTGATCAATGTGACCGAGTTCTTATCCACAAAGTAACCATCAGAGTTTCCATACTATAGCTTTTACTATGGTAGGTGTATCTTCATAAAATTTGGTAAGATTTCAGGAAACATTACGAGTCTTGTACACAAAAATCAGGTTTTTTAATGAAGTGTTTTCACTAGAATCTTTTCAATGAATATATGGAGTCAAATGTGTTGCCTACTCCGAGTGCAAAGTGATTTTCTTGTTAAAATTAAAAACTAGGCCACGCGACTCGCAATCTGCGGGTTCAAATCCCCGTCACACCAAATATGCTCGCACTTTCAGCCGTGGGGGCATTATAATGTGACGGTCAATCCCACTATTCGTTGGTAATAGAGTAGACCAAGACTTGGCGGTGGGTGGTGATGACTAGCTGCCTTCCCTCTAGTCTTACACTGCTAAATTAGGAACGGCTAGCACAGATAGCCCTTGTGTAGCTCTGCGCGAAATTCAAAACAAACACAGGAAACTATGGTTATTTATCCAAAATAGCTTACAGTTTGCAAGTCTACATTTGTTTATTGTTAATTTTATTGTTTTGTTGCTCTTTGAACTGTGTCTAATAATGACACCACACAAGTTGTAAATCACTTGGTGAGGATGAAGCTCAAGTTACCATATCGAATTATGTAGTGCACGAGCTACTCGTGACTGTCTTATGAAAATTTTTATAATTTTTCATCAACTTACCTAATGTAACTTAAGTTTCTAATTTTTACATTTTAATTACTTTTATAATAATAAGAAAATACCAATGAAAAACAAGAAATGTAGTACTTACCTGTGTTCTCTAGTTTTTTTTGTCGCTGTCAATGAAATTTAAGCCTAGTTTGTTATACTAATAGCACTACTACACTTAATAATTTTCATTTAATTAAATAATGCACCTAAGAATACAGAATACTAACATGCACAAAGCAAACAATGTCCTATAACTATCATTTTTATGGTTCTATAACTATGCAATAATAGCCTTTGAATATTTAGCTAAGCTTTTTGATGTGTTTCCCTAGGGAAGATCTAGAAATGTAACTCTGAAAAGTTGTGACGTGCACTTTGACCTCCCCATAACAAGAGGGTTAATAGTTTATTGTATTTCTTGTTTTTAATTTTGTCAGACAATTTCTAACTTTAAGTGATCCACATGTTGCTTTTGGCTTGTTTACAAATGAGCATCCATTGAGCACCTTACAACAGTGATAA